TTCTTCTTCTTTCTTTGTTTATTTCAGTGAAGACATTATGAATACGAATAACTCTGGAATTGGTGTGTGCATTCTCCCTTCAATTTGAAAAAAAAAAGAGTTTTCAAGGGTTTTTATGCACTTGTGTGTGTGTTTGTGTGTTTCTCTTTCTCTTCTTTATATTCGATTCTTGCAACGTTTCAAAGAGAAGAAAAAAAAAATTTTTTTAGTATTTATTGATTTATCCCACCGTGTAATTTCTTTTTTTTTTTTCCCCTACTTGCAGTTTGTTTGTTTGTTCGTTGTTCTTTCTTTTTCTTTTTTTCTCTTTGTGTTTTTTTTTTTTTGCAAATGATTCTTCTTCTTTATCATTATCTTCTCTCTTTCATATAGGTGAACTTTTTTTTTTCTTTTTCTTTATTCCTTCTCTTGCAGTTTTACTGTGTGAAAAAAGAGGAGAAGAAATAAAGAAAGAAAAAAAGACTGTACATGTGGACATATTTTTTTTTTTAAAAAAAAAAAAAGAGTAACAAAAAAAAAAGGGCTGAGAGGCGGCAAAAAGAAAAGAAAAAGAAAAAAAAGAAAGAAGAAAAGAAAGAATGAATAGTGATAAAAATCACTGTTTATGGACAATGAGCTTCAAACTCTTTGGAGGCCTGGATTGTGCAGATAATTTACTGGCGCGACTGGCAGTAGTGGCGGATCTTAATGCTGCGATAGCAACAAAGATGGCGGAGCATGTTGTTACTATCCTCTTACTTGAACCGCATAGTGACAAAAGCGAAAAGGGAAATACATTCACAAGAGATGATAACACATTAGTAACAGTAGGAGCAGGAATGATTTCTACTACTACTAGTAGTAGTAGTAGTAGTTTACTTTTACATGCCTCTGTTTCTCCGCCAAATCTCCTAACTGGGAATGATGAGAAGCCACAACAACAACAACATTATCAGGTTCATCAAACTGAACAGAATGAACTTGATATGCACAACCAGTTGTTTTTTAAACAACCGGAAATGGTAAAACTTGGAGAAGCCAAAGTAGCGCAGGCTCTTACTGCTATTCACACTATCGCAACGAACATGATAAGATTTGATGTTTCTCACAACGATGCCGTAGAGGAACTTACAGTGCTTGGACTTGATGAAGAAGTAGCGTTGGCTATTGTGGCTTCAGTTCATGCCCATCGTCATTCCATAGCCATGATATTATTGGATCAAACACCTCTCCTATCATTTGCAAACTTTGCGCTTCCATACAATGATAAAACCGTGAAATGCCCTATTGTTCAGAATGAAACTTCATTTGGTATACGTGCCTTTCTGTATGATCAAAATGGTTTAGCAGGTGGACGACGATTGTTTAATATTCAGCGGTGTAAAGAAGAGATGGATCAGAAATCGGAATCCTCCGCTGAGATGATGGTGGTGTGGAAAGTACGAGATGGAATTGAAATTCATATTCCAATACAGAAGGCACGGGCACTCTTTGCGGAACTTGTGATCGCACGGGAGATGTTGCGTCGTGCATGGAGACCATATGAAGTTGAGTGATTGGGAATTGTTGTGATATCGAGTGATGATAATAAAGTATATGAGTGAAGTAGTGTGAAAAAAAAAAAAAGAGAAAGAAAGAGATAGTGAAGTACTCTCTTTTTTTTATTTGTTTTTATTTCTTTTGTTTTTGTTTTTTTCCCAGAGTGTGTAGTACTCATTACCCTTTAACCTCTGTATTGGACTGACATTTCATTTCTCTCCCTCTATATATATATATATATATATATATATATATATATATATATNTTTTATTTGTTTTTATTTCTTTTTTTTTTTTTCCCACAGTGTGTAGTACTCATTACCCTTTAACCTCTGTATTGGACTGACATTTCATTTCTCTCCCTCTATATATATATATATATATATATATATATATATATATATATAATACTCGTATGGCAGTAGCAGTCACACAATACACACGGGTATATTGACCCCTAAAGAAAGAAAAGAAAGAAACACACAGACACACACACACTCTCGCTCGCTCTCTCTCTCCTTCTATATATATCTATATATAGATAGATATCTACCTATACATTATGAGTGTTGCTACCCCGGCGGATCGTGATCTCTTTGACCGCAGTGTGTTGGACTTTGCGACGTATGAGGAGTACCTGGACCAGCAGGTGACGCCGGAGGATCTCTTCTACCTGGGCGACCCCGACGCGGCCCGGCAGATCGTCGAGCTCGGCTACAAGGGGAAGGACTTCCTCAGCCGCGAGGAGTTCGAGGCGGCGCGGGTCCTCGCGCTCGAGGGGCCCACCCGGCGGGAGGGGGCCGGCGGGGAGGAGGGCGGCGCCGTCGTTCTCTGCGGGGCCGGCCGGCGACTGGACGACGCCCCCCTCCTCGCAGCCCTCCAGCGGCGGGAGGAACTCGTGCGGAGTGGGAAACTCGCCACGATTATTTTTCTCCGCGATATCGTGCGGGGACAGGAGGTGTCGGCGTACATTGATTACGGACATAGACTAAAGACAGAGGACTTTACAGAGTACTTTGCACGGCGTAAGAAACTCACCCCACGTCGTACAGATCTCAGCTACTATAACTGGAAGACACATACTCTATTCTATAATAATAGTCTTACGTTTCAGGTCTTGGCAGATAATGAAATGGGACTGTTGATGAAACATAAAAGAGATAGAAAGACTATTAACGTCGATCCAAGAGCCCCAACGCCGGGTGATAACAGTAACCGTACCGTTATTCATAGTCCAGAGTATGTTCAAGTCACTATTTACGATCATGTTACTCGACGAAAGAATTAGTTTCATCCTATCCCTCACAGAGAAATAACCTTCACATGGAAGAGAAATAAATATATATGTTATAGAGAGAAAGATATATATATATATCAGAGGCGTACTTTGTTTCTCTTTTGGTATTGCCATTTGCTGCTGTGATTTCATGTATATTCGAATAGACACACATACATATAGACGTATCACTTCTTGTTATATTTTGATTCTATTGTCTTGTGTGTCTTTTCTGTCTATACATATGTATGAGAGAAAAAGAGAGGAAGGAGAAGTGAGGGCAAAAAAAAAAAAGGGAAGAAGAAAGAATCAAGCTTGAGAAAAAAAGGGTTTTCTTCCTGTCGTTTAATGTGATATATTTATTTTATACATACTGTTTGCAATACTTGTGTTTGTTCGTTGTGTTGATTCATGTACAGAAAAACAAAACAGAAACGGATACGCCAACAGAAAAAAAAAAAAAAACCCAAACATTTTTTTTTTTTCTCTGTGTTTGAACCTTTACATAGAAATATATCTGAATATATATATATTTGTGATGAATATCCAATTACTTTTTTTCTTTTTCTCCCTTTTTGTCGTTATTTTTTTTTCCCCCCCTTCCCTTTTTAACCTGTTACTGTGGGGTGTGGGTTTCAAGAGATTTCACGTACAATTGAAAAATACCAAAGGAACCACAAATATTTTGGAAGAAGGGATTTAACAGTATTTTTATTGAAGCTATTCATTTTTTTTTTTTTAAAAAGAGCAAAACACAAAGGGGAGAGAAAGAAGAAATATATTAAAAAGAAAGAAAGAAAGAAAAATATATTCCCTCACACACACACACACACACACACACACATGTCGACAAAACCAACAACCTCTGGGCCTATTGCGGCACATAAAGATCATGAGGTTATTTTTGGTCATGTCGAGGGTGAAAATCGAGGGCCAAACCCCATGAACCCGCCAAGACGCCGGAATGACCCGTTATTTTGGTTGCGTGATGATGCTCGCAAAGACCCTGCAGTTATCGCCCATCTGAAACTGGAACAGGCACACTTTGAAGAGCGCACCGCAGATATTAAAGAATTTGCAGAAACTGTTTATAAAGAGCACATTTCTCATATTCAAGAAACGGATATGTCTGCACCTTATTTACATGGTTCATACATGTACTATACACGAGAAGTGAAGGGTCTCTCGTATAAGATTCACTGTCGTGTGCAAGTTGGGAAAACACCAGGAAAAGAAGGTGAAGAAGAAATTATTTTGGATGAAAATAAATTGGCTGAAGGAAAATCATTTTGTGTTGTTCATGATGTAAAACCAGCTCCACCAGAGCATAAACTTATTGCATATTCTGTAGATTACAGTGGAAATGAGGTGTACAGTATCCGTTTCTTACAAGATGGAGCTCCAGATGTGGTGGATGGGACGAATGGTGATATCATTTGGGGACCAAATGCCTCTTGTTTCTTTTATACCACGAAAGATGCGGCTCAACGTGATAATAAAATTTGGCGACATATTATGGGTCAGCCACAATCAAAAGATGTATGCCTCTATACAGAGGATGATCCACTTTTTTCTGCATTTATGGGTAAGTCTAGTGATGGTCAAACACTTCTTGTTGGTTCTGCCTCATCAGAAACAACAGAAATTCATTTATTGGATTTGCGTAATGGTAATAATCATAATGTATTGGAAACTGTTCGTCCACGTGAGAAGGGAGTACGTTATGATGTGGAACTTCATGGTACCGATACACTTATGATATTAACCAATAAAGATAAGTGCATGAATGGAAAGGTGGTTCTCACCACTCGTAGTGCACCATCTCAATGGGGAAATATTCTTCTCCCACATAGTGAAAGTGTTTTTATTGAAAATATTGCAGTCTTTAAAACGTTTGCAGTCTTTGCAGGTCGACGAGATGGACTCACTAGAATTTGGACAATGCAAACTGGAGATGATGGTTCTTTTAATGATGCTACTATGCAAGAAATAGAATTTGAGGAACCTGTATTCACCGCTAGACCTGTATTCTCACACATGAAAGAGTATCATACAGAGACCCTACGTCTCACTTACTCTTCCATGACAACTCCAACAACTTGGTTTGATTTTCATGTGGGAAAAGGAACTCGTACTTCAGTAAAAGTTCGTGAAGTTGGTGGTGGTTTTAATTCTAAAAATTATATTTGTAAACGTTGTTTTGCTTTGGCACCAGATGGGACAGAAATTCCCCTCTCTATTGTACATGATATCAATCTGGATTTAAGTAAACCACATCCTACCATGTTGTACGGTTATGGTTCCTATGGACTTTGCATAGAACCGGAGTTTGGTATTAAATATTTACCATATGTGGATCGTGGAATGATTTACGCCATTGCTCATATTCGAGGAGGAGGTGAAATGGGAAGAGCTTGGTATGAAGTGGGGGCAAAATATCTTACAAAACGAAATACATTTTCTGATTTTATTGCCAGTGCGGAGTATCTTATTGAGTCTGGGATGACGACATCCTCTCTATTGGCATGTGAGGGTCGTAGTGCGGGTGGATTATTAATTGGTGCTGTTCTTAATATGCGTCCGGATTTATTTCGAGTGGCTTTGGCAGGAGTTCCTTTTGTGGATGTGATGACAACGATGTGTGATCCAAGTATTCCACTCACAACAGGAGAATGGGAAGAGTGGGGAAACCCAAATGAATACAAATACTTTGATTATATGAACAGTTACAGTCCTATAGATAATGTACGTGCACAGGATTATCCACATCTTTTAATTCAAGCAGGATTACATGATCCTCGTGTGGCTTATTGGGAACCAGCGAAATGGGCTTCCAAATTGCGGGAACTTAAAACAGACTCTAATGAACTCTTACTTAATATGGATCTTGAGAGTGGTCATTTCTCAGCCAGTGATCGCTACAAGTACTGGCGGGAAATGGCAATCCAACAGGTTTTTGTATTGAAGCACTTGGGTGTGCGAGCTTTACTTCGGAGATGAAGTAACGAAGGGAATAGGGGAATGTGAATAAGGAAGATAAGAAGAAAAAAAGAAAAGGAAAGGAAAAAAAAAGAAAGGAGAGATGGATATAAAACTATATATATATATATAT